AGAGAGAGAGAGAGAGAGAGAGAGAGAGAGAGAGAGAGAGTCAGTCAATCAACAGCAGACAAGGCACGCCTTTCGCAGTTCAAGTCCACGGAGCATACCCTCCTTCTCCAAGAACCCTCAGCATTGTCTCCTACCTACATGTCAATGCTCAATTCCAGTTTCATTCCTCCCACACTCACTTACCCGACCATCTCACTTCCCCAGCTAGGAGCGGCAGGCCCCATCCAGGCCTGCTCCGTCCCGAAGCCCTGGCCCGCCGGCCAATTGGCCGTCCTCAAGCCCACCACACCCCGTAAACAGGCGTCCGAGTCGGGGAGCGGTTTCCCGAGTGCAGGGTGCGGCGGGTCCCGCCCCTCGAAGCCCGGAGCCACCCCAGGGACCCGAGCGCCGCCCCCCAGCCGCGGCCTCAGGTCTGCAGGGCTCTGCCGGGCCCGCCCCCCTGCGCCCCGACCGGCCCGTCCAGCACCGCGGCGCTGGGCCCCAGACGGACCGCTCCCCTGTCTCCGCCCCGCACCTCAGCACCTCCTCCGGCGGCCCGGCCTCAGCCCCGGCGCCACCACGCCCAACCCGGACCGCTTCCTCAGCCCGACGCCCCGCGCCCCGCGCCGCGCCGGGCAGCGCGCCGACTCCTCAGCCTGAGCCGCCGAGAGAATCTTACCTCGGAAGCTCCTCCCGCCGCTGCTGCTGCCGTTGCCGGGACTGCTGCCACCGCCGCCGCCGCCGCCGCCGCCAGCACCGCCGTCCGCACCGGCGCCAGCCCCCGCGGCCATCCTCCTCCAGCCGCCGCCGCGGCCTCTGCTCTCCTCTCAGCGCCTCAGGGTCCGGGACGGCTCCTGGTCCCCCCCGCCGCCATTTTGACTCCGACAGGCAGCAGGAGGGGCTCCTCTAGGCGAGGCTCTGGCGCGCCTGCGCGGCGCTGCGGAGTCCGACGGCCCCGCCCGCCCGCGCGCCCGGGTCACGTGTCCCGACGTCGGGGCGTGCGCGTGCGCGGGAGGAGCGCGCGGGAGAGGCGCGTTCGCGCGGGTCCAGGGCCGTGGGAGCCGAGTGCGCGCGCATTCTTCTTGCTTGGTTACCACCAAGCGGCGCGCTGAGTTCCTTCTGGGTGCTACTTGCAGTGCCCTGCACCTTCCAGGGGAGTGGGAGGGAATTGTGGGTATTATTCTCCGTATCCGAATAGAATAATAATAACTATGCCCAGGAAGACCAGTTCTACCAATGCGTTTCCTGCCCATGCATACCTCAAAAAGAACAGGTGTCCTGTGGAAAAGTCCTTCCTGGCCGGCTTTGCAGTTTCGGTGGCTGCTTTTTGTGTGTTTTTTTGTCTGCCGCGGTACTTTTACAGGTAGTTCCTTTCTACTTACGTAGTAGGTGGGAAAATACATAGTAATGAAGACACTGAAAAGTTCAACAATAAAGGACAAGAAAGTTCACAACACCCACGTGGGAGGGCCAAATCTCTTCCCTGAATACCCCTTGTTTGTAATTTTGCGATAATTCCAGCGATGCAGTAACAAAAACAGCTTACATTTATGGAGTGCCTTACAGTTTCCAAAACACAGTTAAGTACATGGTTTCTCTTTGAACGACGAAACGACCCTTTGAGGTAGTTGGGACAGGTATTATTATCACCGTTTTACAGCTAAGAAAGTAGGCAAGCCAGGAGTTCTGACATGTTCACTGAGCACCATTATCCAGGGCTTTGTCCTCCTGGGATTTGCATATTCCATCTTTACCAACCCTTTGAGAAACAAGTTATCTGTCACACTTCCTTTTGGTAGTGGTTTTGAATCATCTTCGAATAAAGTATCTGCCCTTAGTTCCTGAATAAACCCTAGATTGAACCTACTTCACTTGTTCTTAGTTCCTGAATAAACTTCCTAGATTTAATCTGCCCTTAGCACTTGCTTTCCCTTTCTTTCATTAATTAATTAATTAGGGATTTGTTGATGTTTTGTTTTTTGAGACTTCATCCACTGAACACTGCATTAACTGAAAGAACTGTTATGGACAACCTATTGAGTTTATCGTCTACACTGCTTCTTTTTAAAAATATTTTATTATGGGGGCTGGAGAGATGGCTCAGAGGTTAAGAACATTGGTTGTTCTTGCAGAAGACCCGGGTTCAAATCCCAGCACCCACATGGCAGCTAACAACTGTCGTGTCTCCAGTCCCAGGGGATCCGACAGCTTCTTCTGACCTCCAAGGGCATTGCACGACCCGAGTGCACTTACCTTCATGCAGGCAATACACTCACACATAAAAATAAAAATAATAAAATATTTAAGGCCAGGCGTGGTGGCACACGCCTTTAATCCCAGCTCTTGGGAGGCAGAGGCAGGCAGATCTCTGTGAGTTCAAGGCCAGCCTGGTCTACATAGTGAGCCCTAGGACAGCTGGGTCTACAGGGAGACCCTGTCTCAAAAAGACCAAAAAATAAAATAAAATATTTTAAAAACATTTTATCATTTTTATTTTATGTGTATGAGTGTATTGCCTGCATGTAGGTGAGTGCACCTGTCTGATCCAATACCATAGAGGTCAGAAGAGGGCTTCGGACTCCCCTGGAACTGGAGTTAAGGATGGTTTGTCGCAGCCATGTTGGTGCTGGGGATCAAACTTGGGTCCTCTGCAAGAGCAGTCAGAGCTCTTCACCACTAAGCCATCACTCCAGCCCCATCTACACTGCTTCTTGATGTATACTGTTACAGGTTTCAGATCTAGGGGCTTTCCATCTATCCCTGTATTTCAAGGGCCTCCCCAGAGTTCACATAGGTCAAATGTGAATTCTGGGTCTTCTGGGCCCAGTCCCAAACCTGTGACATTTCGGATAGTAAATCCGTCTGAGGTTCTACTTAACACCCAGCTGTAGACATATGGTTTGTGACTGGATTTTGACAGGGTGGACACACTACTTCAGAAGAAAGATAGGATCAACCAGATCCTGAGGCCTGCTTTACCAGTTTGAGTTTTAAGGGGTTTTCAGTCCTTGACAGAGTCCATGACTGGGTGATATGTTCAGGATGAGTCCCCTTGAATTGGGAAAGGTAAATACAGTGGCTGTGTCCAGCTACCTTGACAGCTGAGGGTGTGGTCAGGATGACAGGATACAGTCCGTCCCAGTGAGCCTGGAAGTCCAGAGCAGAGCAGCATGGCACCCAGACCCAGTCCCCAGGTCCCAAATCCCGTCTGGTTGGTTTTTGGGACATGGCTGTCTCAGCTTGTGTCTCCTGGACACGATTGTGAATGGAGGGGAGCGTATGCTGCAACGCCTGTAGGGACTTGAGAAGATCATGGTTAAAAACCTCAGTTACATATTCCAGTCCTAATTTGGGAATTAAGGAAGGGGGCCTCCTGTACATAATCTCAAATGGGGTAATCCTTTTCCCATAAAGAGTGCATCTTACTCTTAACAGGGCAAAGGGAAGGAGACTTACCCAGTTTTCACCAGTTTCTGAAATTAAAGTTTCCTTAAGAGTCCTGTTCATTTTTTCTACCTGTCCTGAACTCTGAGGGTGATAAACACAACATAGTTTCCAGTTAATTTGTAAGCTTTTTGCAATAGTTTTTAAAAAATTTTTATTATTTTAATTTTATTTGTATATGTGTATTGCTTGCATGTAGGCAAGTGTACCTGTGGGGACCTAAAGGCCCCACCTTTCATATGTCTGAAAGGAAGTTACTGGGGGTGCGGCCTGGCTTGCTTTGAAAGTCTGAAGAATACTTTTGCACTGCTGAGGAGTGCATGATCAGCGGGTGACCATCCTTAAGATACACCCTGGGGGTGGGGGGGAGATTTCCAGGTGCCTTTATAAGCTCTGTAATACCTGCAATAAATGAGTCCCTGCCTGACTAGACTCCCTGTTGTGTCTGAGTGTCCCGGGTATTGGGGGCAGTGTGGGCTGGCGAATGGCGTGCTTACTCATCCCCAATCATCACTGCCAGGGGGTCGCTGGTTCGAACCCCCGACATGCACCTGTGTCATGCAGTGCCTGCAGAGGTCAGAAGAGGCTGTCGATCCCTGGGACTGGAGTTACGGACGGTTGTTAGCTGCCATGTGGGTGCTGGGATTCAAACCCGGGGCCTTCTGCAAGAACAACCAGTGTTCTTAACTGCTGAGCCATCTCTCCAGCCTCTGCAATAGTTTTTGATATTTGAGCTATAAAAGCTGGGCCATTATCAGATCCCAGACTGATATGGATGTCAAATCCTGGTACCAGATCATTTAGTAATTTTTAAATATATTTTATTTATTATTTTTATTTTATGTGTATGAGCATTATGCCTGCATGTAGGTAAATGCACCCTTGTCGTGCAATGCCTGCAGAGGACAGAAGAGGCTGTTGGATCCCCTGGAACTGGAGTTACAGACAGTTGTTAGCTGCCACGTGGGTGCTGGGATTCAAACCCGGGTCTTCTGCAAGAACAGTCAGTGTTCTTAACCGTTGAGCCATCTCTCTAGCCCCTCATTTAGTAATTTTTAAACTACTATCTGGGCTGTCTCTTTTCGGGTAGGAAAAGCCTCTGCCCATCCGGAGAAGGTATCCACTAGGACCAGGAGGTAACAATAGCCATACTGCCCATCCATCACTTCCATGAAGTAAAGTTACCAAGCTTGTTTATCCTCTCTGTGTCTGCCCTGAAAACTGGAACCTTGAGGCAGGGTTAGTTTGAGTGTATGCTTTACATCTTTCAACAGTATCCTTAGAAATTTTATTCAGATTGGGGATGAAAAACTCTCTTTGTGCCTTGAGTTTTGTGGTTCCCAGGTGGGTGGAGTCATGAACCCTTTGTAGCTAGTCTCTTCCCAACACCTTTGGCGGCATGGGTCTCCCGTCATCCAACCAGAACCATTTTGGGGCATTTTGCTTAGCTTTTAAGCTCTTTGCTAGCTGAATTTCCTCTGGGAGAAGGTGAGGGGGCGGTAGAGGCAGAATTCTGATCGGCACCACTTCCCCTTCTGCCGCTTCTGTAGCTGCGAGGTCAGCAAACTTGTTTCCTTTGGCTTGTGGGGTGTCTGTCTTTTGATGGCCCTTGCAGTGAACCATAGCTATGGCCTTGGGCAGCCAAAGAGCCTCTAGTAGTGCCAAGGTTTCCTCCTGATTTTTAATTTCCTTGCCCCCAGATGTTGACAGTCCTTTTTCTCTATAAAGAGCTCCATGGATAAGAGCAGTGGCAAAGGCATACTGACTGTCTGTGTAAATATTAACAGTTTTTCCTTTTCCCCATCTTAGGGCTTGTGTGAGGGCTATTCACTCAGCCTTTTGGGCAGATGTTCCTTGCCCCAGTGCTTGGGCCCAGACAATAGAGTCTCGTCACTACCGCTGCCCTCGCATACCTGACACCTTCTTTTACATAACTGCTGCCATCTGTATACAGTTCAAGGTCTGCATTAGGCAGAGGTTGGTCTTGCAAGTCCTCCCTTAGCCCCGAGAGGGTACTCACAGTGTCCAAGCAGTCATGGAGTGGAGTTTTTGGATTGTCATCAGGTAGTAGAGTGGCAGGGTTCAAGGCCTTGGTTCTCAGGAAGGTGACATGAGGTGGGTCCAGTAGCAGTACTTAGTACTGGGTAATGCGGGCATTGGAGATCCATTGGTCTGGCAGGGATCTGAGGAGTGACTCTACTGCATGGGGGCCGATAATCTGGATATCCGAGTGTTAGCTTGGAAGCCTCCCTCACCAGCAGGGCTGTGGCGACTATGGCCTAAAGGCAGCTTGGCCATCTGGTGTCTACTGAGTCCAGTCTCTTTGACAAATATGCCGCTGGCCTCCTCCAAAGTCCCAGGGTTTGGGTGAGAACCCCTTTGGCTATGCCCCTTGTCTCTTGTACAAAGAGCTGGAAAGGCTTAGTCACATCAGGCAGGGCCAGTGTAGGAACTTGGGTTAGGGCCATCTTGAGTTGGTTAAAGGCCTCATCCTTCAGTTTTCCCCAAACCAGTT